TTTTTTTTGCAGTTTTCAGTTTTAGGGGGTTATTTTTTCTTGAACAGATATCGAGATATACATCGTATATGGAGATATAGCAAAATATATGGAGATATATTTTTGATCCATATCGCCCAGCCCTTGTAGAGATGATTTAAAAAGAACGACAGAGTCTGTGTTTTCTTGGTGTCGCTCCTTTATTTGAAACTCATGATTTCTCAAACAGAATTTTTACTTGTTTCAAAATGTGTTGTTTCCTCTCTTCTCTCTTTCACTCTTTCACTCCTCTTTCTCTCGTTTTCTCTCACACATTCCATCATTCAGACGATTCGAGCAGATTCAGGAAGCAAAAAAAAAAAAAAAAAAAAAAAAAAAAAAAAAAAAGAAAAGAAAAAAAAACGGAACTAAACAAAAAAAGTACAATCTTCCTCACGTCAGTCATTCGTTGGCAAAGTTTCACGGCTGGAGGTTCGGTTCACACACGAGTCTGTGATCTGCTCTTTTTATTTGGCAAGTTTGTTTGTTTGTTTGTTTGTTTTTTAAGCCGGATGCCCTCCCCGTCAGAGCAGCTTTAGTGTTCACTGTCACTGGGGCAGGCCGGGGGGAGAAGTGTCTTGCCCAAGGACACGACGACAGAGGGGAAATCTGGGTTACAACGACCACATTCAGTTTAGAACGCAGATGAAGGTTTGAATGAAGTACTAGTACAAGTAGTAGTAGTAGTAGTAAGTAGTACAAGTAGTAGTGGTGGGTTAGACTTGTTTTAGTCATGGTTAAGTCCTAGTTATAGTACAGTAGTAGTAGTACAAGTATTAGTACAAGTAGTAGTAGTAGTAGTTTTATAGTAGTAACAGGTTAGATTTGTTTTTGTCCTGGTTAAGTCCCAGTTGTAGTACAAGTACAAGTAGTACTACTACTACTTGTACTTGTATAAGTAGTAATACAAGTAATAGTAGTAGTAGTAGTAGTAGTAGTAGTAGTAGTAGTAGTAGTAGTAGTAGTAGTAGTAGTAGTAAGTAGTAGTAGTAGTAGTAATGGGTTATGTCCTGGTTAAATCCTGGTTTAGTCCTAGTTAAAGTACAGTACAAGTAGTAGTAGTATAAGTACATGTAGTTGTAGTAGTAGTACATGTAGTAGTAGTAGTAGTAGTAGTAGTAGTAGTAGTAGTAGTAGTAGTAGTAGTAGTAGTAGTAGTAGTACAAGTATTAGTACAAGTAGTAGTAGTAGTAGTAGTAGTGTTTAGTAGTTAGTCAAGTTAGTAGTAGTAGTGGTTAGTTGTAGTCTGTTAAAATAGTAGTAAGTAGTAGTAGTAGTTAGTACAAGTATTAGTACAAGTAGTAGTAGTAGTAGTAGTAGTAGTAGTAGTTAGTAGTAGTAGTAGTTTAGTTACAAGTAGTTAGTAGTTAAGTATTATTAAGTAGTTGTAGTTGTAGTTGCAGTAGTAGCAGCGGTGCTTTAAAGCGTCACGGCGATAACATCTCCATGGAGACGAGCAGACGGCTGAACCTCCAGCAGAAATGTTACGCAGTGAAGCTTTACTGAAGGCAAATGAAATGGTTTAGGTTAAATTTAGACCTGGTTTAGTCCAGTTATAACTCTGTTTTAAGTCCTATTTTTTAAACAATTTTTAGACCTGGTTTAGACCTGGTTTAGTCCTGGTTCAGAATTAGTTTAGACCTAATATAGACCTAATACAGATCTAGTATAGACCTGGTTTTTAGACCTGGTTTAGACCTGGTTTAGACCTGGGTTAGTCTGTAGTTTAGCTCTAATAGAGACTTGGTTCACTATTATTAGTGTTGGTTTAGTAGTTTTAGTTAGTAGTAGTAGTAGTAGTAGTAGTAGTAGTAGTAGTAGTAGTAGTAGTAGTTTAGTAGTAGTATAGTAGTAGTAGTAGTAGTAGTAGTAGTAGTAGTAGTTTTAGTTTCTGTCCAATCAGAAAACGAGGGGCTGTAGTGTTGGTTTTGTGTCAGTAGGGGGCACATTTGACCCAAAAAAAACCGACAAGAGAAATTACAACGGCCTTAGACCCTGTTCTAGTCCTGGTTCTAGTCCTGGTTCTAGTCCTGTCCTAGTCCTGGTTCTAGTCCTGGTTCTAGTCCTGCTTCTAGTCCTGTTCAGTCCTGGTTCTATCCTAGTCCTGTTCCTGCTAGTCCTGTCTTTCTAGTCCTGCTTCTAGTCCTGGTTCTAGTCCTGCTTCTAGTCCTGCTTCTAGTCCTGCTTCTAGTCCTGCTTCTAGTCCTGCTTCTAGTCCTGTTCTAGTTCCAGTCAAGTCCTGATTCAGTTCTGGTTTAGTCCCAGTTCTAGTTCTAGTCCCAGTTCTAGTCCCAGCAGCAGCAGAGCCCAGTATAAAGTCCGTGTTCTGAGTCTGTAGTGTTGAGCCTCGTTAGTGTAAATTTAAAATAAAAAAAGAGTTAAAAATGAGAGAAATGAAACTTCTCTGAACTTTTTTCAGAACGTCTGAAGCGTGAAAATATTAAAGAAACTATTATTATTTATTCTATGGTTTTCCTCGTCGTGTCTCGGGACTCTTCTGGAGAACTGGACCTTTAGGATCTCTGTTCTGTTGGACCAGGAGAAGGTGGGTTTTTGTTGTTTTTTTTAACTGGGACTGGGTTATTTTAGTGAATTCAGGTCCAATACCAGAAGAAACACGACAAAACCTCTTTTTAAATGTTCTGCCGCCTCATATGATCACAGATGTTATTTTCGTTTGGTAGTTCACGTCCCGGGTTGGTTGTGGTGCTGTTTTTTTTGAGGGCCCCAGACAGAAACGTTTAGGAGCCAGAGGTCTGATGGAGTTTAGTGTTTAATGTCCTGGAGGTTTCTGAAGGGTCTGGACGTGGTTCTTTAGTGTTTGAGTGAGACGTCCCCCCGTGTTGAGCCTGGATCTGGAGGTTCTGGAGGTTTCTGAAGGTTTCTGAAGGGTCTGGACGTGGTTCTTTAGTGTCTGAATGAAGAGCCTGGATCTGGAGGTCTCTGGAGGTCTCTGGTGGGCCCGATGGTGGTGGTGGTGGTTCTTCGGTGTTTGAGGAAGAAGTCTCCTGTGTTGCGCTTGAGCCTGGGCTTGGTGGTCTGGAGGTTCTGGAGGTCTCTGGTGGATCTGGGTTGGAGGTGAAGGTGGTTCTTCAGTGTTTGAGAGCGACGTCCCCCACGTTGAGCCCAGGTCTGGAGGTTTCTGAAGGGTCTGGAGGTGGTTCTTTAGTGTTTGAATGACAAGTTCCCCATGTTGAGCCTGGGTCTGGAGATCTGGAGGTCTCAGGTGGGCCCGATGGTGGTGGTGGAGGTGGTTCAGTGAGATGTCCCCTGTGTTGAGCCTGGGTCTGGAGGTTCTGGAGGTCTCTGAAGGGTCCGGTGGAGGTGGTGGAGGTGGTTCTTCAGTGTTTGAGGGAGAAGTCGCCCGTGTTGAGCCTGGGTCTGGGGCAGAGCTCCAAACATCTCCGTACCGTCTGTGGCTCCGGGCACCAGCAGAGCCTTCATACTCGCCGCGATGTGGTCCAGGTCTGCACAGCCCACCTGCGCCAGACGAGAAGGTCAAACATCAGACACACACACATGAAATATGACCTTCAAATGTGAACTATGACCCTGAAACGTGAACTATGACCTTCAAACGTGAACTATGACCCTTCAAATGTGAACTATGACCCTTCAAACATATGACCCTTCAAACAAACTATGACCCTTCAAACACAAACTATGACCCTAAAACATGAACTATGACCCTTCAAACGTGAACTATGACCCTTCAAATGTGAACTATGACCCTCAAACACGAACTATGACCCTCAAACACAAACTATGACCTTCAAACGTGAACTATGACCCTGAAACGTGAAGTATGACCCTTCAAATGTGAACTATGACCTTCAAACACGAACTATGACCCTGAAACGTGAACTATGACCTTCAAACGTGAACTATGACCTTCAAACGTGAACTATGACCCTTCAAATGTGAACTATGACCCTTCAAATGTGAACTATGACCCTTCAAACATGAACTATGACCCTTCAAACATGAACTATACCCTTCAAACGTGAACTATGACCTTCAAACATGAACTATGACCCTTCAAATGTGAACTATGACCCTTCAAATGTGAACTATGACCCTTCAAACGTGAACTATGACCCTTCAAACACAAACTATGACCCTCAAACGTGAACTATGACCCTTCAAAACGAACTATGACCCTTCAAACACGAACTATGACCCTTCAAAACATGAACTATGACCCTAAAACATGAACTATGACCCTTCAAACACAAACTATGACCCTTCAAACACGAACTATGACCCTTCAAACATAAATTATGACCCTAAAACATGAACTATGACCCTTCAAATGTGAACTATGACCCTCAAACACAAACTATGACCCTTCAAACATGAAATATGTGTATTCTTTTATAGGTCAAATTGGGGTCAGAAGCTCCAGGAAGATTCAAAATGCTCTGAAACGACACAAAATGGAGTCAATTGTTTGTGTTGCAAAAAGTTCAGTTTGTGTGATTCTGGTTCTTAAGATATGAACATAAATAAAATACATTTTATTTTTGGTCGATGATGTTGTCCAGCCCCTCAAAATGTGAAACAGCCTCAAAATTAAACCAATCAGGTAGGACGGGTCAAGTAGGACGGGTCAGGTAGGGACGGATCAGGACGTAGGGCGGATCAGGTAGGACGGGTCAGGTAGGACGTAGGGAGGATCAGGTAGGACGTAGGGACGGATCAGGTAGGACGTAGGGAGGATCAGGTAGGACGGATCAGGTAGGATGGAGGGAGGATGAGGTAGGATGGATCAGGTAGGAGGACGGGTCAGGTAGGACGTAGGACGGATCAGGTAGGACGGATCAGGTAGGATGTAGGAGGATCAGGTAGGACGTAGGAGGATCAGGTAGGACGTAGGACGGATCAGGTAGGACGTAGGAAGGATCAGGTAGGACGGATCAGGTAGGACGGATCAGGTAGGACGTAGGGAGGATCAGGTAGGACATAGGGAGGATCAGGTAGGGCGTAGGGAGGATCAGGTAGGACGTAGGAAGGATCAGGTAGGACGTAGGGAGGATCAGGTAGGACGTAGGGAGGATCAGGTAGGACGTAGGAAGGATCAGGTAGGACACTCACCCGCTCGCCGCTGTTGCCCTCGCCCTGCCCGCCTCTGTTTCCACGGCAACTCCACACGGGCACGGACACGGGCAGAGACCGGGCGAGCGCCATGGAGTTCTGCTGCCGCGACGACGCCACCTGCCCCACGGGCATAAACCGCACAGGGGGAGGAGCCTCTTCACTCAGGGAGCCTGGACGAAGAAGAGAGAGAGAGAGAGAGAAGAAGAGGAGGAGGAGAAGAGAGAAAGAGGAGAAGGAGAAGAAGGAGAGAGAGAAGAAGAAGGAGGAGAGAGAGAGGGAGAGAAGAGGAGAAGGAGAGAGAGAAGAAGACGAGGAGAAGAAGAGGAGAAGGAGAGAGAAGATGAGAGGGGAGAGAGAGAAGGAGAGGAGAGGAGGAGAGAAGAAGAGGAGAAGAGAGAGAAGAAGAAGGAAGAGGAGAGAGAAGAGAGAAGAAGAGAGAGAGAGAGAGAGAGAGAGAGA